ATTTGCTCGAGTTTTGATTGACCCCGAACACCAAGAGCAAGACAGACGGCTCTCGCCCAGGATAAACAGTTTAAACCATTGAAGAGTGCCGAAGTTAATTTCATAGGGGTGTTACTTTCGGATTCATGCACCACAGTTTTAACAGGTTTTACTTTATTCTTTTTGGCCATAATATGAAAATGAAACAAATAAAATGTGAATAGCTACATACCAGAACAATAGATCTATCCGAGAACAAAAAAGTCGTCCCAATAAAACCTGAAGGATAGAACCCTCAAAAACTCAAACTCACCATGCAAACCAATCATCCAATCACATTTGCAAGGTGAATAGAGAAATCAAAACCGATCATCCAACCACATTGCATCTTCCAAACCTAACATATAATAGGGAAGAGAGAGAGAGAGAAGCAAAAGTTTGCTAAATAAGACAAATGAAGATAACTAGAACTTTGATGGTATAGAATGAAAAAATCCAAACCTCTACACCAATGCACCAAAATTTTGATGACCCAACACATAGATGATTTGGTGATGGCACCAATTATGATGCCTTCAGAGAAAATATGAGACAAGATCAGATGTGTCTTTCTCAGATTTACTGGAGCTGTTTAACTATAGATTGGAGTAAATCGACATCTTGTAAGTAACATCACTCTAATACTATGCTAGAAAATAAAACTGAGAAAGAGATAAACACATCAACAAAGACATATACGTGGTTCGGTTGTTCAGCCTACATCCACGAAAGAGGAACAACCTTATTTTCATTCATAGGATTACAATAGTTCCTCACCCTTATAAATAGATACAGGATAAACATGAGTAAAAGGAAATCCCCTGATACAAGCCTAAAACAATTAAGGATCCCATAAATAGGCTAATTACATCACAACTGGATAAGGAAAGAGTCAAAGGGATTGATGAAGCATAGCTGGCACGGCTGATATCCTTCCACAATCTTCTCTACAGTTTGATATCACAAAAGAGAGTTAGGGTGTTTCTAGAGTGGATATTTACCAAAATCTAACCCACTTGGTTACTTTAAAATATCTTAAAGTTCGACCAAGGTGTGTGTGGGTTCCACCAGCTGCAAGATGTTTGAAGCTAAATTTCGATGGTTCATCATTGGAGAACTTAAGAAGGGCTGTGATTAGGGGTGTGTGTCGTGATCATGGGGGTGTTGTAATTTCCTGTTTTGCAGCCCCTTGTGGTGTGACTACTACAAATTCTGTTGAACTTGCTGCACTTCTTCAAAGCTTAATGATTTGGAAGGACAAAAAGCTTGGAAATGCTTTGATTGTAGAAGGGGACTCTGCCAACATGATCAATTGGTGTAATAAGTCTTCAAAAACCCCTTGGCGCCTTAGACCGATGTGTCTGTAAATTGTGGAGTTAATAGTGGATGACATCATGAGCTTTCATTGTGTTTATCATGAAATGAATGCCATTGCTGATGATTTAGCCAAGAAAGGAGCTGCTTTGAATTCTTTAATCATTTCACAATCTTTGTTGTAAGCTTGTTTGTGCCTATTGTAATAGCCTTTTGATCTAATAAAGTATTCTTGTCTAAAAAATAAAAAAAAGGGTTATGTTAGAGTGTTCACACTATAGAATAATTTATCATTATACTCAACAAAATTTGGAAATTTATATACCCTTGTTTTGTACATAGAATTTTTTTTTAGTAAGGGCATTTTGAGTCATTAGGAGGGATGTGACGCTCTTAAAGAAACAAAAATACCCTTACTAAAAAAATTCCATGTAAAAAACACGGGTATATAAATATCTAAATCTTGTCGAGTACAATGACAAATTACTCCATAGTGTGAGCACCCTAATATAATGCAAAAAAAGAAAAGAATCAACTATGAGCTCTAATTCTCCCATGCCCTTGAAGGCGCTTTGTTATATATACGACAAGTCGTGCACATCAATGTGTTATTTGTCCTTTAACATTGGTCCAAAAAAAAAAAGGTGTTATTTGTCCTTTCAAGATGAAGGCATAACATTGAGTCAATGTCATTATATTTCAAACACTAACTAGACCAAAACGTTAATGAACTCAAATCGTCCAAGTGGAGGAATAGTTCTATGTAGAAAGAGGTTTAGCAAATGCTTTATGCGATGATGGTCGGAGTTGCCTTTGTGATTGGATCTTCTGAATTTTTTGGGTAGGTCAGCTTGGCTTTCAAAAGGAAGAACTCCCACTGGTACGGGCTCTCACCAGCTAAAAAGGGTCTCAGAGCCAAAGGGCCATTCGTCATATTTAATAAATATTCCACTTGATTTTGGGGGTTTAGCAATAGGATAGGGTGTAGGATACAGCAGCAGCACAGTCAACACCTTAACCAGATTTGGATAGGTTTACTTGTTTGATTTTCTCAGACAATTTTAAGGATATCAACCCTTGACCTCCCACACCCACACAGGGTTGTCTACCACTAAGCTAGAGCTCAAGGGTAAAAATGGGCAGGTCAGCTTGGTTTGTTTCATTAGGAATAAATTTCAAGACCCCCCAATTAAAAACCAGGGGTGTCTGCCTGCTATTGGGCTAAGGGCTAAGGCCCAAGGGACAAAATATTTAATGAATCTTCATATTCAGCAAAATATTTAGGACAAAACAAAATCCTGGAGAAGTTTAGAGCGTTTTTCAAATCTTTCTTGGCCTAATATAGTCTTTCAAAGTACCGTGAACTAAACTGTAGGAACTAACGCCCCGTTTGGTCCCTACTCCCTAGATATGGGTATCCTAGGGAGATGTCTCTCCTGAAATTGGTAGAGCCTCGAATTCGCGTCTCCTAGAATATAGGTATACGTTATTTGGATAGCATTAGGTAAGACCTAGAAGATATATATATGGATTACCTGGAAGACATTTTCAGGAGATTATATAATATAATATTCAATATAATATTACTATATATTCATTGTTGTATACAATATTCTAATATATATTTAAATAATATATAATTATATAATTAAATTTAATTATATATAATATTACCTTAATTCTTATATATTATAATACCATAATATAACATCATATAGTATTATAATATTATATAATAATTGGAAATTATGTTATAAAATTGTATTATATATGTTATAATATTATATATTATTATAAAATATAATTAATATTAAATAAAAATAAATTATAATAATATTTCTATTGTAATATATAAATTGATTATCTTTGGTCACTATATATAATTAATAAATTAATATATAGGAAAACACTACAAAACACCTATAGGTGAAGTTCTACAATACTTCACCAACAGTTTTATCACCGTTCAAAGTTTATCACACAATCATAGATGTCTGATAGTGTTTGGATTTTAATATTTGTTTTACAAATCATAATGATCTGAAATTTTGTAGATGTATGTGCCTTAGTGAGATGCACATGAATAAAATATAAAACAAATAATTTGAATGGTAAAAATTAGGAAAAATACCCTTATGAAGTTTTAGGGGTAATTTTATCATTTTATTTTATGTCTATAATTTTTTTAATATTTTATTTTGGTGCGACTTGGTCATATGTACACATGCCCTAAATTTTAGATAAATCTAATTGGTAAAATAATTATAAAAATTTAAATACTACAGGACAACTGTAACCATGTAATGAACTTTGAATGGTGATGAGGTGTAGGTGAACTTCACCTATACGTGTTTTGTAGATGCTTCCTAATATATAATTCATAATATATTTTATGACGAATTATATATTATAACGATTATAGCTCTACAATTAAATAAGTCATCACGCATAAATGCGACTCCCACCAAGGCACCCAAACTGCATTTGCAGGCCATTTATATAGAATGATTTGAGAGACCCATTACAGGGAACCAAACAGGCCCTAAGACGAGATTAAACACTATTCTAGACTAAAATTTCTTACCAAATATTTTTAAGGGGGAAAGGACCGCTTCCATGTAATAGAAATATTTATGAACGCTTTTGAGAAGATCATGATTTCCTCATTCTGCTGGCCAAGACCATTTGAAAAGATCTAACGCCCCCCAAACCATTCATTGTTGGTATTGGACAAATAAGGATGATCGCATACGTCCAGGATATAAACACGTACTGTAGCACATTTTTCTTGTTTAAGAAGGTACAAAAAAAATTCCAAATTTATATAATGAGACAGTTTGCTCTTAATACAAAGATGTTGCAATCACCAATGACTAATTGGGCGGTTGAAGATGTTCATAGACAATCAAAAACAAAACTTCTCGAATGTTGTCACATACTTACATGTATTCTAATGATTAAAAGTGGTTACGACTTCTATGTACCAAAAACAAATAACCTCAATATACAACCCAAAATAAAAGAGATCATAGAAATTCATCTCTATAATTACCATTAATTTTAGGGAATGGATCAATGTTCAAAAACTCAAATCGGAATGACTACCTGGAAACAATTCACCCGATCTAACCGGTAAACCTGCTGGTTCAACTGTTCTAACCGAGCAAGTCTCGGACGGTCAAAAACTTGTTAAGAAATACAAAAAAATCTAATAAATATGACGAGTATATTTAAAGAATAATTAAACAAAACACATCCAAATGAAATTAAAAAATTAATGAAAACAAGTGATACTCAAAGGTATTTTTTAAAGTTTCTAAAAAAGATGGGAAAATATAAAAATAAATTTTAATGAGCAAAACAATTTCCCATTTTTGCTATAATGATGAAAAATATTAAAAATACATCTCAAAAAATAATCCCTTATTTTTTGAGATTTTATATTATTTTTTTATTTTTTAAAAAATACCCGACTGGTCGCCAGTGACCTATTTCGATCTAACCGAACAGTTACCGGTTATCCAACAATGGAATGGATATCATGTAACGCACCATTCATATCAAGTTTGGTGCATGTACCATAGGCTGCCCGCTATCAACGGGCCACTCACGTCCACTGTCGTTGACAATATGTGACAGATGGTATATATACACAACTAAACAGAATGATACATCCACGACAAACAACTCCATAATTTTGTAGCTAATAAACATGTCAAGTATGATGTGGAATATCTCCTAAATCTGTCAAATATGAATTTACTCCTAAATCATTTCCAATTAACAGAAGTCCCAAATATTTCCCGAATCCGATACATGCAACTACGAAAATAAATCAATTTCAGAAAACGCATGATTCAGAAAATGCATGAACGTCCTCTGGGATGCAAAGAAAACAACCCTGGCAAGACAACAATGCCAGATATTCGTTGACAATTAACGTTACAAAATGAAGCACGCTGCACCTTAAGCAGGACCTGTACATATCTCCAAAGGCTGCAGCTCAGCTATCGAGAGCACCTAGTGCCTTCATGTCCTCCAAAAATACCATATAGGAGTCATCGATACTTTGTGGCTTGGGTCCTGACTGTGTGAGAGGCTCTGATTTACCAATGGCAGTAGGAACCAATGAATGTGGAGGTGCAGCCGGCTGTGACTTGGGCTTTGCTTTCTGAACAGCACTCTCCCTTCTTACGCGTACAGATGCTGGAACCTAATTTCACAGAGAAAGAGAGAGTGTGTGTATGAGAGAGAGAGTTATTTCTATCATCTAAAACAGAGCTATTTCACATGGTAGAGACACAGGTCCTTTTATAGCAGTATCTAGCATGATTCATCTGTCATCATCAATGCAAACATGGAACAGTTGGATGGAGGCACAAATGAGGATGACTTAAATAGCTCTAAGGTTCTTTCCAAAGTGTATATTAAACATGAGCAAGTGAAAAAATGTATACCGATAGTAGAGAAAACCAAGGACACGCTCGTTAAATAGAAAAACTATCGCTCGTTAAATAGAAAAACTATCTTTAATGAAGAAAAAAATAATAAAACACCTATTCAATAGAAAAACTATTATCTAACCATATCTCAGGCCTATGAAAAGTGAGCCCATTAGGTTCTGACCATAGTTGTTGGGTATGAGAACGGTTCTGAGACTGGGGACGGGATCAACGAATCGAAGCTATACTGAAGAACCCTGTGTCAGGGATCGATGCCCATACAGCCTCAAAGGGGCCGAGGTCCATTAGTGTTGGGGATCGACCTCTTTTATTGCATAGGATCGAGAATTACTATATAAAAGTGAGAGATCCTATACATAAGAAGCGACATTCTCAAGGGCATTTTTTTGAGTTTCTTAACTCGGGGAACGCATTACTAAAAGTGATCCAAAATATTACAGAGCGAGGAATAACTTTTATAGGAGTGAGCTCCATTTTCTTAGAACATGAGGATCCATGGCTTTAAAATGTAGCTCCCGGTGTTGTTAACCAAAAAAAAGTAGGCTTAGTCCGTCTATGAAATAAATAAGGAACTTTAAAGCGATCCCATATTAGTGGGATCGGGATGCCATATATGGCGATGCTTGCGTTCAGTTATTTTGGAATCTGGATCCCAATGCACTCTGGAGTGCGAATCATAAGGCTAGGAACTAGATCCTGTAATGTTCAAAAACGCGAAATTAAATAGTAAGGAATTCATCCTTATAAGATGAAGCGAGATCCCGAAAACACTAAATTGAGTTTCAGATGTGATCCGCTCCGGGATCGAGAGAATCGAGGTTCTACAAGGGATCGCCAAGCAAGGGAGGCGATACCGGTAACTATGGTTCTGACCTTCCTAAGAATGATGAAAGTGAATTGTTACCCAGCAGATGGTACAAATTTCACCATCTTGAATTGTTAGCTTGCTAGTAAACTCCTTAAAGAATATCAACGATATCCATATCTCAGCATGTATGGAGCCTTTTCTGCAAAAGATGAATCACTAACATTTATTGCAGAGGATAATCCTCATTCACAAATGATCAAAGTTTCGTATAGAGAATGACTTGGAGTAAATTAAATCTAAAATAGCATTACTTAAATCTCATTTTATCTTATTTTTATCAACTCCTTGAAGGAATTATTCGCATCTACCACAATAAACTTTGCAGGAAAATTAGTGGCACTGTTCCTTGGACTGGTTCTTGATATTTCCGGAGTTCATTACGCATTGATTTGGTTAAAAGTAAATTATTCTTGGCCAGAACCTATATATAACAGAGCAAATGTCAACCACTGAGAAGAAAATATTCTTTTCAACTATCGAGTGTGTCCACAGAACAATGATCATCACATGTTTTGCAGACAGACAATCAAAGGGAATAAACCCCTATGAACTAACTCCAAAATCAGAAACAACCTTAACTATAGATTCCCAGTTTTCAACTATCAAACACGAGCATACTACATGAATGCAGGCCAAAATTATTTCACCGTCTTTTGTCAACTAAACACAGAGTGATAAGAAATAAATTTGGTCCATTTAATATCCTTCATTTTAATGAAACTTCTCCACTTCAGGCTCTTTACCTTTCTTAAAAGTGAGAATAAAAGAATAACAAATAGGCAAGTCAGAAAAGAACTTCTAATTATCAGGCATGGAAAATAAACATATGTTGGACCATTGTACAGTGCCCACACAAGCTCGTGGAAATCGAGCTCTCACAACACCAACTATTTAGCCCAATTGCCCTAAATCATGCAGAACCTCCTATCTTTACAAACTAAAGAGTAAATATTTTACAAAGATCTATCATGTAGCCCTTCATGCCTTTCAAGCGCAATCTGACCTAGTTTTCAACCTGAGGAACCTGTATGGTGTTTGTTCCACCATAGAAAAATTATCTAAGATCATCAACCAATGGTTTTCTGCCATCTCTAACAATTCTCCACACATGGGAATTCCCCTCTTTACCCAGAACTTCCCCCAAAGATCTCAACACACTTCATTCCCTCTACCTAACTACCACCTCACCAACAGGTCTGCTGGTGTTCTTGACAATGCTCAAAGCCCTCACCATAAACTCATGCTCCTTCGAAAACCTACTAAGCCCCTCAGCTCCTCTACATTCTGCCATAATTGAGGATATCGTCTGGCTTGGCACCAGAATTTCAAAAACCGACCATCAACCCTTTCACCAAGCTCAATCTGTTTAATCCCACAGTTTCCCTCCAGCCATTCCAAGAATAGGCAAGGAGAAGAGCAACCAGATTGGGCAACCTGATATGATGATACTCACTGACGAAGAAAAAGAAGCTTCAGTGAACAATTTCAGAAGGCTATCAGGTATTGTGGTTGAAGATCCTGCCAATGTTTGCAGACTTGGCTCGGGCTCTGAACTGGGGCCCTAGCCTGGCTGAGTTACTCAGGTGAATCTAAGTTGACTCACCCAATTCCTTGTCAAAATGCCCCTCACAAAAAGGAAAATTCCTGAAAAAATAGTAAAAATAGAAAAAATAAAATAAAATATAAAATTGTAAAAAACAAAGTAGTAAAAATTTGTAAAAGATGGAAAATGTTAATGAATTTAAAGAGAATAGAGAAAATTACCCACAATTTCGAACAAAACTCTAGGTTCCCCAATCTTTACACTCGATACAAATTGATGCCTCCAATCCTTGTCAAAGCCTCCTCAAACAACACCAATAGAAACCCCAAAATCGGATTTCGAGTTCAGATCTAGGAGATCCGAGCTCTTTAAAATTTCCAATAAATAGTAAATCCGAAAATTACAATATAGGCGATTTTCGGCTCCAAAGGAGCACCCAAGTTTCGGGGGTCCAGGAGAGCCCAAGTAACTAGAGAGAGTCAGAGCAGACTCACTTGAGCTCTCAAACATGAAATCCCACAAGCTCCCTAAAAAACTCAACACGTTCCAAACTTAAAATGCTCACCCTAGGGGGCGATAATTTCAAATGCAGGATGCAGACCTGATGCTAACGAGAATCCAATGAAGTGATGCAGCTCGATGCAAGCCCATTACCTCTGATGCAGCCAACAAATTAAAATAACAAATAAAAAATCATAAAAATATAAAAGCGCAAAAAAAAATCATCTCATCATCATTAGAGCATTTTCCCAGCTATTTGGGATCGGCTACACGAATCTAGTCCGCCATCCTGCTCTATCAAGGGTCATAACCTCAATTAGACTATACGTCCCCATATCTTTTTTCACTACTTCATACCATGTCCTTTTGGGCCTATCCATTGCCCTTTTTGAGCCTTCTACTTAAACCAACTCGCACACCTGACAGGTGTTGTACTAGGTATGCGTTGCACATGGCCATCCCAACTAAATCTACTTTCTCTCATCCTATCCCCGATTAGAGCCACACGTAAGTTCTCCTAAATGTATTTTTTATTCATTTCAAATTATATCCCTTCCTGTCTTGCCACTCATCCATCTCAACATCTTTATCTTAACTAAACTTATCCAATGGATATGTTGTTTCTATGTGCAACATCTTCCTCAATCTTTCTATTTTCTTACATTATAGACACAAGATATCGAAAGTGTGCTCTTTTTGGTATTTTTTGGCCATCAATCTTAACTATTTCCTCGTCTTTACACCTATTGTTACTAAACTTGCATTCCATATACTCTATCTTAGTCCGACTATTTTAAAACCTTTAGATTTTAGAGCATCTCTTCAAAGTTTTAACTTTGTATTGATGCCACTTTAGGTCTCATCAATTAAAACTATGACGTCCGCAAACAAACACCACAGTACCTCATCTTGTAGGTGCCTAGATAAATCGTCCATAACTAAGACAAAGAGGTATAGACCTATTGTCATTGAAAACTCACTCGTCTCTCTACTAGTTGTTCGCAAACTTGTTTGTGCTCCCTCATACATATCTGTCACCAAGACAATATCATATCTAGAGACTCCTTTCTTTTCCAAACCCACCAACTAAATCTCGAGGTACTCCATCATAAATTTTCTCTGGATCAATAAAGATCATGTGGAGGTCTTTTCCATTCACCCTAAACTTCTTAATCAGTTGCCTGAATAAGAAAATAGCCTCAGTTGTTGACCTTCCTGACATAAAACCGAATTGATTTTCCGATACACTCGTTTCATGCCTTGGTTGTTGCTCAATCACTCTCTCCCATAGCTTCATAGTGTGGCTCATAAGCTTGATCCCTCGATAGTTTAACACAATTATGTATGTCTCCTTTGATCTTGTAAATCGGTACCACAATACTTTTCTTCCATTTGTCAGGCATTTTCTTTCTTCTTAACACCTTGTTGAACCGCTCAGTCAGCCAGTCAATGCCGATCACCCCCATGCACGTCCAAATCTCTATCGGGATATCATCTGGTCCTAAAGCCTTTATTATCTTCATCCTCCTCTATGCTTCTTTCACTTCCAATATCCTAATCCAACGAATGTATCTATGACCTCTACCCTCATTTATGCCAAAGGTTCCTTCTACAACTGTGTTCCCATTGTGCATGTCATTTAATAATTTTCAAATTAAACTCTCCACTTTCGTTGACATCTTTCATCCTTCACCAAGACCCTTTGACCCTCACTCTTAATGCATTTAATATGGTCTACATCAGTACACTTCTTCTCTCTCAATTTTGCTAATTTTAAGACATACTTTTCACTTCTTTTTTTTTCCTAGTTTACTATGTCGATTATCATATGCTTTAAG